ATAGTCTATAATTTCTCGAAGGAATCTATCCGTAAATGTGACATCATTTTAACATCATCACTATATAAATTACTTTATATAATATATTATACACTTGAAAAATACTAAATCACAAGAGACTACATTCTACAACATTACAATATTTCTTAACCGACAATTCTTTCGCAACATCCTACTTTGGTATAACATCCTATCTATTACGCTTGATCAAAGGATGAAGCCTAAAGCTAAAATTAATCGTAGATACGATAGAATGTCAATGACTCCCTACTCGATTCTTTAACATGGAATTAGACTTCTTCGTTTTACGATTATCTATTCGCCATAGTTGAATGTATAGTTTGTAAAAGGGCTTACCTCATCAGCCTTTTCGGCAAGGTTTCGTAATAGTGAGAGGTAGCGGAGTAGAGGTTGGGCACGGGGTAAGCGGGGGCAGGAGACGGTGCTGGTGTACGGGCCCTCTTTATGGTGTTTCTCACCATGGTTGCTTCACCCGCTTCACCCATGTCGCTCACCTCGCCGACTCCTCCGCCAACGTCATCAACAACACCACCACCCACGTTACCGCTCACGGTACCACTGACGTTTCCGCTCACGTTCCCACTTCCGTTGTCACCGCTCCCGCTGCTCGCACCACCGTTTCCGCCGCCACCATCCCCGGTGTCCGTGGACGAGTTATTGTTCTCAGCGGCGTGCCTCTGCGCTACTGCCAGCTTTTCGTGCTCGATGGACAAACCCTTTACCTGGAAACCGGAAAAGGATCGATCTGTGATTCGAAGAGATTTGGAGAATGTGGAGAAGAAAATACGAACGTAAATATACGTCGTTTAGTATTGCGACAGGAGAAATATAATTTATAATATAATTTGAAATCGAGGTTGGGCACGTTGTTAACTGTTATTAATTATTATATAAATTATTGGCATTAAAAAACAGAATGATGAATTTTTCCATCGTTTCAGTTTTGTTGTAAATAAGCGTATTATTTTCCTTAAAATATAGAATTCATCCAAGAAAATTCTATTATTATGTTCTATTATATTCGTTGAATGACCTTATGTTTTTATTCGTTCAAATAATTTCTATTGTAATAATTTTTATATTCTTTAATTTTCTTCAATTTCCATTAGATATATATATATTTTTATCAAATATAAAATTTTTAAATCAATTCTTAATTCCTTCTACAATTTAATTTACTTTATGTATATATAAATTTAATTTAATTTAATTTAATAATAATGATAATTTAATAATTTAATTAATTAATAATTTAATAATTTAATAATAATTTAATTTACTTTATATATACATATATATAAATTGTAATTTAAAGGAATTAAAAATTGATTTAAAAATTTTATATTTGATAAAAATATTTTGAAATAAACAAAATAGATTCAAGAAATATTAATAAGAAACATGGTGTTGATAAAACAAACAAAATATAAGAAATATTACATTAATTATGGAAATTTTTTAAAAGAATTCAATCAGAAAGTATATAATTATAACATCAAATAATTTAGTAACTAGATGAAAATCTAACTAGATGAAATTACATACTGAAGAACCTATTATGTGATAAATTGACATAAACTTAGATGGCTTCGACCATTAACATTTTAAGAAAATACTCAAAATAATACAATTATTGCTCTTCCTAAATACAATAAACATTTTATCAATTTCTTTAATATCATATTATCATCTAACGCCAAAACAAGAAATCATAAGAATGATCTTGCCTACAAAAAAAATAATAGAAATCTCTTTAAAAATAAAACGATGTTAAAACAAAGAATGTTGCAATACCACGTTCTTTCAGAGAGCATTGACACAGCTTCGTTTTACTCTCGCGTCGACGTTCCGAGAACAGGAACTTCTGTTCATTAATCGCGGCCAAAAATAAAAAATAAAGTGAAAAAATAAGAAAAAAAAAAGGATGTTCCCCGAAAGAATGCAAAGTACGCGCCCGCATTCGAGACACGTGACTGCTATTTAGGGCAATTATTTCAAAAGAGATGAAATAAGTCGCATACTTGAAGGCATTCGGCTGCTTTGAGGAAAGAGCTGAGGGATTCCTGGGACACGTGTACCTCTCCACGGTACATGAATTCGAGAAGGGACGCCATATTGTGGGCACTCGTTCCGTCGAGAATAACGATCAGTCCCGCGGGAGAAGGAGGCATTCCTTCGAACAGCTCTTGAAAGTGTTTGCTGCATGCTGCGAGAATTAACCTGTGCGCCTTGAACGTTACTCCTGGAACACACGCAATAATAAAGATTTGTTAATACATGAGAAACACGGTGTCCTTCAAACATTCGTGTAAGCTGCTTCCAAGACTACGATTTGGTTGCTTCTTACGAAGATTCGTTTTGTGCAATAGATTTTTCTTCCATCTTTTTATTCCTATCGTTTGAACGAATTTCGTTTGTTCGATCGATCCTTTCGAGATTGATAAGACAGCATATTCCAAAAATCTGAATTTATAATTTTTTTCGATAGTAGGAGTACTTGTTAAATCGCGAAATTTTAAAACTACACCTTCGGTTGGAAATAATTTTCGAATAATAATTGTCATTCATTATTTTCGTGGAAAGAAGTCGGGTTGAAAATTAGACATATAAACAACTCGAAATATCTAAAGCAAAACTGTCTGTGTACAGCTGAGACGAGATAATAAGAACCACGTGAACAACAAAAGCTGAATATTTTTTACTACCGTGGGGTTGGATTAACCGTGTTTTCCAAGAATTACTCGAATTTGTTTCGTGCGTCTATTCTGATCTCTCTCTCTCTCTCTCTCTCTCTCTCTTTTTTTTTCTCACGGCTTTCATGTCATATCCGAGGCAAGGACCGCGGGAATTTTGGCGTGCAAAGGAAGTGGTGACTGTCGAACCCTTTTTTACCACTCGCTCTCCATTTCCCTCCACGAACGGACATAAAGGAGCCGAGGAGCAACGCCAGCTTGACGCCGATGCCCTTTCTTGCAGCCCGCTGGTTATGTAGGTCATCCTCGGACACGATCTTTCGTAATTTACGATTCACGTGCGCAAGTGTAACGTGCGCGTAATACGATATCGGTGCGCGTCTAACGAATATGGCGCCGCCATGGATTGGACAAAATCCGTGAGGGACATATGTATCTTTTGTCCATCGAAATCGTTAGATTCGAATTTTGGGGTAAGGAATGATTATTTTTTTTTTTCTTTTAGGAGAAGATTTTCTAATAATAAGTGTATCTCGATAAATATTGAGCACCTAATCCTTTAATAGTATATTTTTTTCCTAAGAAAAAATAGTGTTGTTAAGAAATGTTAAGAGAATGATCCAAATTTTTTTCGATGCAAAGAATATAAATATTTTTGAATTACACTTGAATTAATTTATGGATAAAAGGTAATCAAAAATAGATATGAAATAGAAACATAATATTGTTCTCGTTTTTGATAGGGACACTTGACGAGCTTCACGCAAACATTGTTATTGGACAGTTATGAACGGAACAGGGAAGATGAGAGGAGACACAATAACACGATATCCTAGGAATAAGGAAATCAAGAAGGGAAAAAAAAGAGACACGCGAGAACAGGCGACCAGGTGGCCGAAACCACCTGCCTTTCGGAATGGCTCACCTAACTAAAGCGTATCGAGTTTTTCGGTACTCCTTGACATTCGAAGATTCGTTTAAAAAAAAAAAGGGGAATTCTCAACCCTTTCGTGGGCCATTCCTTCGCCTCCACGTGTGTGCAAATTATTCTGAAATTTCGCCCCAACTAAATTCGATTATATGATTTGCATTGATTTAAAAAGCTTATGGATGTATATACTTGATCATAAAATGCATAATTTGAACGATTGAATAAATAATGATAACGATAAATATTAATAAATTTGTATATAAAATTGCAAATTCAACTTCAATAATTAGAAAAATAATTCTATATTGAAAGATGTATTCAGATGTATTCAAATGTTATCAGATCAAACTGTTATTAAATGTATATAATGATCTCCTTATTTTATCTCAATAAATTATCTCAAATAAAGTCATTTAAAAATAACATATCTTAAAACAAAATGAAATTGTTTACCATTTATAAAATGGTTGAAATAATTCGATATTTTATTTCTTTATCTTTTTACTTATTTTTTACATTTAAATTTTATCATACTCCTAAAATCTATTCAACATTGTCGATCCTTGGCAAACTCAATAAGCGACAACGCTTTCGTTTTCATCCTACGATAAAAGCAATTTGATCTTTCGAAGAAATCGTCTTTATATTGTAAAAAAAAAAATATCAAAATTTGTCTACTCAAAAAATACGTATCATCGAATATCGGTAAAAAGTCGATTATAGAAGAAGAAGAAAATAAATTCACGATGAATAGAAACGCAAGGGCTCGAATATTTGCAACCTACCAAATATAGCTGTGTATCGTTACAGGTATCCAAGCCAAATATACATGCTAGATGTATATGTGCAGGGGCCAACGACCGGGTCGCGTGTGCGTGTGTGGGCGTTTTGCGTAGCGTGTTCGTGGCTTATGCCAACGGCTCATAACCAGGACCCGGAAACATGTGCCTGGCATTCCCGTATCCTTTGTGTGGATCGGCGCAGCAAAAATAAGACACGGATGTGTTTCAGCTTGGAATCTCTGAAAACACTCCTACGAATCACGAAATGATACCAACTTCTTTGCTATATTACAGTTTCTTTTCTAGATCTAACGGCAATGGCGCGTTTTCAAGGATTGAAAAATAGATTTCTTTTTTCTTCACTTTATATATATATATATTTTTGAACTTGATTCACTTAACTTTCTTTTAATTATGATTCTTTTATTCTTGTTTAATTTTCTGATTGGTTAATTTTGCAAAATTTAATTAATGTTATATTCATAAGTTTTTATTAGGAAACTCTTTTTTTTGGGGATAAAATCGATTTTTAATTTACAGATCAGAGATTTTTATGTAATTATTTTTATTATTATTTATATTATTATTATTAAATTATTGCTATATGTTCATAGTGCTATAACATATTGTAATGTATAAAAATGAAAATTTTTAGAAGATTTAAAATTCGAGGATGATTTAAAAAGCAAATGAAATTTATGTTAAATTGTTTACGCTTTTACTTTCTTTCATAATCTAACTTAGCTGAATAGTGCACAAAAGAATATTCTCGTCCAAGAGCTCCGCTTCTGGTAACCATCATGGTGACTCACACGCCATGGAATGAATAACTTCGGGACTCAATGAAGTACACTATCTTTTTTGAAAATTCTGCATGTATTTCTATATTCTAAACATGTATTACGTATCCAGATATGAAATGTTATCATAACCAACATCAAATAATTTTGATGTTCGTCAAAATTTCAATTCAAAATTCAATATTAATTTTTAAATATATATATTATTTTATTTTTAAAAATCTAACGTATAACATTATACGAAACATAAGAATACATTGTAAAAATATTTTTAAAATTATCAACAGTAAATTTATTATTATTACGTTCATTCGAATGATTTATAACCGAATGAAGCGATAAACAAATAATACGCATTGTTTATATGTTATTTTAACGCTATCGCGAGCGCAACATTATCGTTTTCTACAAAAATTTTTAATCTTAGCTTTTAAATGCATATCAGATATAATACCGCATCGATAATGAATTTTACTCGAGATTCTATCTTTTTCGAATTTTTTTATATCGAGATCCCTAGGATAAAAATTTATAAAAATTAATTTTCAGATTATCTGAGATCTGTTATAAAGATTATAAAAAATTTGAATCTTCCCATTTTTAAATCCAAGATTCTGTTAAATACAAAAATTAATTTTTCGCCGTAATTCTATTAAGAAAATCGTTAAAAATCGAATTTTATTTTTGTGATAATGATATTTTTTTAAATCTTGTTTACATCATGACATGAGAAATCGATACATGAATATTCGAATCGAGCCAACGAAACATGACAGTTCTTAATAGGCAAACAATCAGTGGAAGGATCTGTTAAACGAAGCCTATTAGCTTAAGAACGAGAAATTAATTCACTACATCTATAACCTCCACGTCGAGAAGAAACTTGCAAATAACACGCGCTCAGTTACGCAACGGAGCAATGCACTCTTCACGGGCAATCTATTCATACTTCAAGGCCAGCTGCTAAGGAGTTTTATGGGCTAGGGTTTTCAGTTTCCTACCATGGTCATCGTTTCCTTCACCGTTTCGTTCATTGTAATTCTATTACTCCGTGCACGTATAGCTATACGGAGAACCCGGAAACGGTATAAATTACTTCAAAAATTATCGAATCTTTGATTTATTTTTTGCAACGAAATCTCCAAATGTATTCTTTACAATTTATATGTATACACATTTGTTTCGTGAAAATAATCTTTTGGAAAAGAAGTTAAATAATTAATCAACAATTTTATCGTGCCATAAAAATCATAATTAATGAATTTCTTGTGAAAAATGGAGTTCTATTATAATTCTTTATCCATTTCGAAAAAGAATGCTTTCTCGAAGAAAGAATGAGCAATCATCTTTCCACAGCATTTTTTCATACATTCGAATCACGTGCATCATACGTAATGTACAAAAATTAATAACACGAAATGCTCTTCTTTTGAAGTGCGCGAAAAGATAAAAAGGTTGATTCGTTGGGAATACGATAGGTTGTTGGTTATAGCGACAAAGGAAGACAGATCTAAGGGACGAACACAACGGTCAATGGCCCGACAAGGTCGTCAATGCAGAGTGCGCGAGCTAGTTCCCCTCTGTAGCTGAATTTTGCCGCCAGATTCCGTATATACGCGTGTGCGATCACATGTACGATGCCTAGGCAGCGGTTCGTTTAGAGCAAACCGACCAATCACGGCGATCGGCTTCCTTTGGTCCTGGCCAATGGCCGCGTGGGACCAAGGTCGCAGCGCTCGCACATGTTTTTCCTTCGCCTAGTTATATATACTCACGCCGGGCTGCACGATCGGGACGATTCGCGAGGGCAAGGAGGGAGAGAGCCAAACACTCGTTCGGGAGAATTCGGGCGCGCGAAAATCGACGAGTGGTGGGGGTGGCCGTGAGCTTTGAAACTTAGTCGCGCGGTCGAAAAATCGGCATCGATGACCACGTGTGTCGTGCAATCGCATGTGGAATTTGCAACGATTAGAACTTAATATTTAAAATGTTCGTGATGTAAATAATATTCTAGACGAGACAGAGAATTTTATTGT